GGTTCAGGGTTTGTAGCCCATACAGGAATACTTATAGTACCCCCCTTATAGGAACTCTTTAGGTGACCAATATAGTAAACCTAACCTTTTCGAGGTCACAAGCTCCTGGTTAACACCCCTGACCCCAAGGCCCTAAAGCCCTAAGGCCCCAAGACCCTAAAACCCTACGCGCCTAACCCCAGACCCTACACCCTAATCCCTAGGCCCTGGCTCAAGGCTCAAGAGGTTGTCCGTTGTTTCTCCCGGCTAGGGTGGTCTTCTCGCGGCCTGCTGTGTGCATTTCGGCCGGTGGCTCCCGCTCCTCGGTAACTCGATTCAGGGGAAGGTGAGGGCTGGGGCGAGAGGGTCTTCTTCGGTTACTTGATCCGCCGGGAGCGCATAGGTGGCAGAGCACGGCGGTGCCTGGTGTGCATATTCCTGTGCCGCAGATTCCCGGGATCCCTGACGATCACGATCCTGATTTAGAGGTCCGGCTGGCCGCGGGAGAGCGTCATGGCAGGCTTGGGGGCGGTGATCCTGGTAGTCCAGCAAAACGACCGAAGTCTGGTGGTGAAGGGCAGAGTGGAGACCATGTGACCATGGGGGCCCTGCGGGCCTTGTTGGCGGAGCAATCGCTCGGCTTGTTGCAGGCTCAGCAGAGTCAGATGACTGCCTCGCTTCAAGCTGTTGAGGAGAGGCAAAGCACCAGGTTGGACAAGCTGGAACAGGCTGTGCAGGCACAAGGGGACAAGCACTCTGGTCTGGAAGATCAGGTCAAAGCCCTGGCGGAACGCTTGGCGCGGGTGGAGGCACGTCCGCAGGTGGCTGCCGATCCTGCACATGGCGGGCCGAACCGACGCCTGACGCTTGTGTTCGGAGGATGGGAACGTGATACTCGTAAGGGGCTTCTGCTGGAACAGCTCAAGCAGGCGCTGGCGGCGTTGGGGCCTTCCCAGCAGCTGGACGCAGAGGCCTTCTGCACGGGGGCGCGCCGCTCCGTAGCCCTTTGTCCCTTCAAGCAGAGACCAGGTGAGGACCACAGCGGACCGAGGGACCGGATGCTCCATATCGTTCAGGTGGTTAATTCCAGCAAAGTCACTTTGGAGGGTGCTGCAAGACCTTTGTGGGCGACGTTTAGCAAAACTCCAGCAGAACGCGGTCGGGCGAGTTGGGCGACCATCGTCAGGAAGGTGGTCCTGAGGTGCAGTCCAGCACGTCTTGGGGATGTTGAGGTCGAATATCTCTCGGGGCGGTCGTGGATAAGGGATGACCAACTGTCGGGGATGGGTGACCCTCCGGCTGAGCTCAAGAATGCCAGGGTGATCACTACCAGGGCTGGCCCCGGCTGGCTCGATGAGCGGACTCTGGCTCGATGGGTGGACGCCTCTCTTGAACAAGTCCAAGGGATCGTGGCTGAGCACAACTTCTGACCTTCCCTTACACCTTTGTATGTTTCGCCTGAGCAGGTCTCCGAAGGATTGGCAACTGCAGACTTGTCGGGCTCGGGTCGTGGTAAGAGCTGTATGGTGGCCGAGTCTGCTGTGAAGAAGCTCTCTATCCTGGGCTGGAACGTCGGTGGTGCGGACCTTCATGTGCTGCCTAAGGCAGTTCGAGATTCTCTCTTTCGGCTTCTTGGAAAAGATGAGCTCGTGTTGCTTCAGGAAGTGCCTCGGGAAGCGGAGGGATGGAATCATAAGCAAGTCGCAGGCAGAAGGGTTGTTACGCATCAGTCGTCGAGTCAGTGGCGAGGAACGGGCCTTTGGTATGACGCTGGGGCATGGTGTCTTCTCCGCAAAGTCTCTACAAACAAGGGGACATGGTTCAAGCTTCGTCATCTGGAGGAACGCATGGAGCTCTGGGTGGGGACGGCTCATTTCTCCCCGGGAGCGTCGGTGGCAAACTACGAACTTGAGGTTCATGATCATTTTGCAGGCTTGCCTCGGGATGCCTCGAGGGTTGTGTTCAAGGGCGATGTGAATACAGGATTCTCGTGGGCGGCTGAAGGGGATGAGGTCTCTGCAGTCGCCAGGGAAGGGAAGGGTAACATTCTTCACAAAGTGTTGATGGAGGCAGGGTTGGCAGTGGGAGTACCAGAACGAGATCAGATGCACACCCCGACTAGCAGACCCCGGCAGGAAGGCAAGCGAGGTCAGTGTATCGACATCATGGCTTTTCGGGGACTTAGCTTTCGGTCGTGGCACATCTTGGTCGACTCCTGTCTTTGTATTGGAACAGATCATGAGCTGTGTCATTCGATTTTCTCACATT